GGCGCCGTGAACGTAGCCACTGCGTTTATTGTAACAGCCATTCTCTAGCTATCCGCTTGTAGCCACGGCATTTGGTATTGCAGCTGAGAAATTGTAATGGTAGGTAATCTGACGTTTCCCTCAGCCCTAGATTTTTAAAGATGAAAAATTTCCATCGAAATTAAAAACTCTTCTTTAACCATGCAATTTAAAATCACGTTTCCGCGTAATTCTCTGGTGTTTGTGAAAATGCGACCCGACATATTACGTTTTTAAAAACGATTGTTTCGGGTCAAACTGATCAATAAAGCATTACCCAGAAATAGAATTTTTGACTTCCTGGTCAAACTAAAGGAACTTTTTTAGCTTTCATACTTTTTTATATTCGGCCAATATCATATGATAACTTCGCATCGGACGGTGGTACTGTCCAGCCATGGTTATTGACCTCGACTACAGGACGCTGCCACCGTCCAGACATGATTAAAGAGTTAAAATGCATTTCTACAGTTTCTAGAGGCTAACAATGTTTTTTACTTTAGAAGCTAGTCCTACTTTTTGGGATTAACTGTCGTAAGATACAAAAAGCTCGGCTGAGGTATGGCCAATCTCAGGATTTTGGTGCTGTCTGTGTTGTGATCTAGTCTTGCTTTGATATTTGGTTGGCTACTGAATTTTTTGTGAGATACTATGTCATGTGCATAATCGTATAATTTTTCTTCTTTTTAGTACAGTCAGTACAATGATCCTTGCACTTTAGGAATATTACACGGGTCAGTTCTTCAATTTTGCTGAATCCGAGGTTTCAATGAAAATAACATCTGATTGTCCCGTAAACTCATCATGAAGATTTTTTTGTTCATATTCTATGCTGGCTATGTAAGTTTGTTTTTGTACTATTTGACTTCCTCAGTCAACTACAATTCTGATTTAAAAACAGACAATTTCTTTTCCTTGGTGCCATCTCGAGTGTGTGTGGAATTAGCCTAAACTAGATCTATACCACACATGTAAAGAATAATTAAATTGATGGTAGGGTAGTCTCTGCCCAATTGCAAATGTGTGTTTAAACAGATAAGTGAGGTTATAATATTTTTACTTTGTTCGCTCATAAGATGGTTTCTTTTCCAATTGCAGTTATTGAGATATGATGTTGGTGTGTATGTAGGCCTCTCAACCCATAAAAATGTGTCCTACTTGGGTCAGATATATTTTTTACAATACCACAGCTCTGAACACATGGTCTGTTGCAGTGTGCAGCTGTGGGTTTCTCGCTAATTTTACCTTTGACACTAGGTGTCACTCACCCCTCCTTCAATTGCAAATATTTCAACTTCTGTTTGAGATAGGTTGTTATTATTTTCATCAAGACAATGTATAAACTTTGAATGATACCCAGTGATTTCATATGCCCAAAAACTGAAAAGCGCGTACAAGTCCACTGTGTTATGACATTTGTTCCCGTCTCTAATCAAGAAAAGCTAGCAGTTACCAACACATCCCTCTTTTTCATGATTTCAAAGCACTTGGACTTTAGTAATATAATATTGTTTCCACATAGATATGCATGCCCATTGACAAAACATTTTCTGTTTAACAGTACAGTGGAGGTGTACTATTGGTGATAGTGAAGACTATGTTAATGTTATAATACTGTTTTCATGAATTATGTTCTAAGTAGATTTATTTATCTTCTCACAGCTTGTGTGATTGGCCAACGGCTGGAAAGTATACAGAATTTTAACATCAAACCTCGGCGAACGCTGAAAGGTCACCAGGGCAAAGTGCTATGCATGGATTGGTCGTCAGATAAACGTCACATTGTTAGCTCTTCTCAGGATGGGAAAATGTTAATATGGGATGCATTTACAACCAACAAGGTAAGATTTGACCTTACTGAGAATGTAATGGTTCTGTCAGAGCAGAATAATCATTGAGACACTTATTTGACAGAATAATTTCTATTTTTTTAATTACACCATTTGAGACCATTTATTATCAGTAAGACATATATGTCTGCTCCTGAGGTTGTTCGGTATTTACCATGTTCTTATTTAGTGTTTAGCGTGGCACATAATTAAACATTTTGGTTTTCCTGTCTGTTTGAAAAAAAATCTAGATGACCCAATAATTCTTGATATTTACAATTTTACAATTGTAATGGACTGTTTGCTTCATTCTGGTGTACCTGTTTTATGTGTCTATATTTTCTGCATTTTGTCGAAAGTATCACTGAAGGCTATAATGGAATTGCACTACACAAAAGTATTGTCATGGACAATGATAATATAAAAAAAACCCAGTGAGAATAGTAGACCTTACCTTCTGTCTGAAATTGCCATTCAAAACAAGAGACGAAATTTCAATAATTATGAACTTTAATGACAGCATTTTTTTGGTGGTATATTTTCAGGAACATGCGATCACTATGCCGACAACATGGGTCATGGCTTGTGCATATGGTCCCTCTGGCAGTGTGGTGGCTTGTGGGTGAGTCAGTGGTGTTTGTTAGGGCAATGTTAACCTTTGGGTTAGGTACTTGTCTCTCATGCCAAAGTCTCTAGTTATGATCTCAGTTTGTGCAGGTATGTTTTGGTTAATAATTTGAGATTTTTATTCCCCAGACCTGTGGTGTGGTGATAGATGGGATGGAGTCCCCCTGTGTCTCCTGGACAAAGACAATATTTTGAAGCTCCTTTAGGGATTTTCTTCACTTTACAAGCACCCTGACAGTTAATGGCAGGAGATTTTAAATACTTTCCTCTTCAAGACTAATAAAACTGGTTGTGTACTTTCTTGAACGTTGAAGGGTATCTATGTTGAATTGGGAACATGGGTTATTTATATTTAAAAACTAGTTGCACTCTGTGTTGAATCACTTATTTTGTACTCCCCTTGATTACTTATATGGAGGCATAGATGAAAAGGAGCATGTAAGTAATTTGTATTTAAAATCTTTAAATAAAAGTAAGTTTTAGCCTCTAAGGTAGCGTTCCTGCTCGCATATATTTTGATACCATTGCTTTCCATTACATTAACACTGCCCTGTGCATTAAATGAAAATTTGGTACTGGACATTGGTTTGGAATTTAAGTATGATGTCAGCTCAACTTATAAAATAAATTGTCATGCTAAATTCCCTGTAATTTAGTCTGAGTTTTTGTGTGTGTTCATGTGTGTATATGTATGCATACTTGCGCATGGTCACATGTGTGTGAGTGTATATTCACTTGCGCTTTGAATGCATACATACTCTAATGCAACATTATTTCTGTTGCTGTCTCATTGATGCTTTTTTAAAGATACTTTTTACTGAAAAATTACATAAGGTGGGTGGTTTGCGGGTCCTTTAGTGTGGTTTTCTAATTCTTTCCTATCAAACATCTATCATCCTTATCTTTCATTCTTCATTTCTGTGTTTGTTACTCTTTTGTAACACCTCTAATCTTGGCACTTCTATGACCTAATTGTGTTGCAAGTGCAGTAAAACATGTTACAAAAGTAACTAAAATGGTTTCGCTCTTCGTTTCCAAATCACTTAGGGGCTTGGACAATAAGTGCACACTGTACCCCCTGAGTATGGATGAGGATCCAGTGACCAAGAAAAAAGCTGTTGCCACACACACATCGTACTTGTCGTGCTGTTCCTTCACCAGCTCAGACCATCAGGTTATCAGTCTTAACGACTCTTTGCAAATCCTAATAGAATGTCCTTTTGAAGAATTTGTTCTCCATTGTTAATACCTGAAAAATTCTCGATTTTATATGGACCATTGGTCTGAAAATGTAGGTAGTACTATTTCCAAAGTGTAAACTGTTGTTTTTTAAACTGGATTTTTTGAAAGTTGATATTGAAATGTTTTGCCTCATTAGCTGCCGTTCCTGCAGAACAATATTGCTTGTGTGCTTACTTTTTCTTTGCCCATGAGAAACCCTGTGGCTTTAGAAGTTCAGTAAAGAGCAGGTCTGTGTGAGTGGAGTGCATAGAGAAAGGTGAATTTGATCTTTTGTTAGTAATGAATATCTGATCTGTAGATCGAATAGTTCTCTTGTATAGTCCAGTTCTTCTACATGTTTTCTGTATCACAGCAGTATTTTGTAGATAAAACTGCAATTCAACACTGGAGTAAGCTAATAAAGATTACCTTAGGAAAGGAGCATGTGGATTCCTTGCTTGAGGAGGAGAGACCTTACTTTCTGGTAAAAATGCACCCATGTTTGTGACTTTTGTAGCATGCGATAATACAAGCCCAGAGCTTTTTTTTTTTTTTTCGATAGAAGAAGTAGACATTTAATGTGTGTCTTGCATGTATTCCTCCATCAGATTTTGACAGGCAGTGGAGACAGTACGTGTGCCCTGTGGGACGTGGAGAGCAGTCAGCTGATACAGAGCTTCCACGGCCACGCGGGGGACGTCATGAGTATTGACTTGTCACCGACAGAGACAGGGAACACGTTTGTCTCTGGGGTGAGTATTTAAATGCAATTGAAATTCTCTGGCACCCATTGTCATGGAGAAGAGTGGCCGTCTTAGACAAGTAGATGTCTTAAACGGTGTCATTATAATGTAAAAAATCGTGAGGGAGGAAATAGAAAATGGCTTTTTGTACTGGTGGTTTTCTTATACAGGTGGCAGTTAGAGCAGGTTTGACTGTGTTCCCAATTAATACAACAAATACAGACTTGGTGCATCAGTCAGTGTGGTTTAATGATGAGGCTCTCACTTTCACTTTGCATATTTACTGTATGATATCGATTACTGTGTGAGAAAGATGTTTAGTGAGTATTGTACATTTGTAGTTTATATTATGAAATTCTTGATAATGTAATTGTTTTGTAATTGTCTTTGCTCATTATGATTTGGTTGTCTGTATCAAATTGTGTCTGTATAGTGTTGTGCACTAGAAAATTTCTTGCTGATATGTGAAGTGAAAAAGGAAGGTTGACTTCAACCAAACTTCCTGTCGACATGTCAAGTGTAGTCAGTGTTATTCACCATCCACTTATTTGCTCCTTTGCTTTGGAGCATCTCAAGGAAGTCGAAATATGAACGGAGGGAAAATACTTTGGCAATATGCTTCCTCTGTGTCTGCCACCCACGCAGAGCTGTACCATGATCACTGCTTAAGTCATCAATATTTCTAGACAACTGAAGATGATTTGCTCAGGAATGCAGAATCAGTTATGCCTACCATAATAATCACATCAGGAGGCAACACCCAACACTATTTTGCAACCATAATCACATTTAACCTAGACGTAGCCATGATAGAAAACAAAAATAGCCCTGGATACTGAAGGTAACAATACAGGATTGATAAATGAGCACACTTTTGTTACATGTTCTCTCCAACTGTTCTCTAATCTGTTTTCAAGTGATGACCACCTTAATATGACATCTACCTATAAGTAGGAACAAAAACTGTTTCCTTTTTAGATTTTTATTGTGTTGAGCATGCCATTTACTGTGCGTTTTTTTTACCTATTTCTTTTCTTTTCTTTTTTCTTATTTCTTTTGTTTATTTCTCTCAGTTCATCAATGTAGCCTGTACTTTCTCTCGGAAATTTATTATTCTTTTCATGCTGACCCATTTTCAGGGTTGTGACAAAATGGCAATGGTGTGGGACATGAGGACTGGAGATTGCGTGCAAGTCTTTGATGGACATGAGTCTGATATAAACAGTGTCAAGTTTTACCCAAGTGGAGATGCTTTTGCCACAGGCTCTGATGATGCCACGGTGAGAACTTGTAATGTTTATTTGTCTTAAGGAGCAACATTAGTGTCGGCTGAATAAATCCGAAGGTGCTGATATCCTCATTTCAGAAACATATAAAGAATATTATATGTAGAGTTTCGGTGCTGTTGAAAGGCTGGGGGGTGTTGTCTATTGTTTTAACTCCTTTATTAGACATCAAGTCATTCAATTTAAGCTGTAATGAGACTTTTAGTAGGACTTGTTCACGTATACTTTGCCAACCTTTTATTAGTGTTGATGCACAATATTTCAGTATGTGTATGCTTTTTTTTGGTCTGACTCTTGACAGTGTCAAGACTGTCGATTTACAGAATTTTTGATATCCTTGAAAGTGGATCATTTGCAGGTCTCTCGAATAGTCTTGAGAAGTTTTTAATCAGTGAATGTCCCAGATGAAGAAATACTTTAGATTTAACAGGTTTTGGTATTTGACTTTTCTCTTAGATTTGCTTAGTTTTCAAAGTTGTGTTGTGGCCATTTGATGCAGGGTAAGCTGTGAAAGGCTGATTTTTCTAGACTTATTACATGTTCTGGGGAAAAAAATCACCTGGTGAATATGCTTCGAAATATAAGTGTTCAGTGTTTTTCACAAGAAGACCAATTCATTTTTCGTTGTTGCTGTTGTTGTATCACTGGTTTTCCAGAATGTATCATGTGGAATAGTTTATTATGCTTTTTGGAACAGCTGGGATGTAAATTGATAATTTGTTGTTTCCCTGTGGTGAATGAGTTCTGTCTGATTATCTGCTCTAGAAATTGATTGTTGGTCAATAATAGAATTAACCTTGTAGAAAACTGTCAATGTATCAAATGTTCAAAACCTCTTATCTTCTTTACAGTGTCGTCTGTTTGACTTGCGGGCAGACAGAGAGGTTAACTGCTACAAAAAGGACAGCATTATATTTGGCTGTAATGCTGTAGACTTTTCAATCAGTGGTGAGTTCTATATACGAGTTCTCTGTTTCGCTGATTAATAGATGTTATCAAATAAGGAACATGCCTATTGACAGCTGTGGCAGAGTCAGTTTAAAACTCGGGCAAGGTCTGAAAGACAAGAGTTTCTAGTCTTGAGTATGTATGGTCGCTTTCAAGGACAAGCAAGCTAACCCAGATTTCGGGGGTTTCCAGAAATCTTGACCTACCCTAAAAGTGGGCATTGCCCTACCTATAGGAAAAGTTTTGTTCCTTTGGTGTGTATATTTGTTTGGTTATAGAGAAAACTCTGCTTCTCTTTTAATGAAACTGAACAAGGGGCAAAAGCTTTACCTTCAATTTCCTCAAAACAGCATTTTTCGGGATAGCCCCTTTGTGCTTAAAAGCGACCGTATATGGTGTAAAGTTTTATCTTTTTTCCCAGAATATGTCCTAGTGGTCCTGTTTCTTGTTGGGGGGTGGGGGGAGGGGGGGAGGATGAAATGGATCACTTCCAGATTTACTTATTTGGCTTGTATTTGAAAGGTTAACTTTATTAAGAACACTACACTTTGTATTTATTAGTATATAATTTCTGTTCTATTAATTTTGTGGGTCTAGGAAGGATGCTAAGTTTTTGCTGGAAAGTATTTGTCCTCTTTGACTTCACATATTAACTCAACCTCAAATACAGTCGAAATTATCTAAGAGTAAGACGGCCACCGATTGTCGAGGAGAAATGTGGCTACCTCAGACAGGTGACTGTCTCACACAGCAGAAAGTGGGAGTTTGTACTGGTGATTGACTTATGCAGGTGGCCGTTGATAGGAGCAGGTTGATAGAAATTTGAATCTTTTTCTGAATCTTTGATAGCAATGTGAACTTTTTCTGAATCTTCAACAGCATTGTGAACTTTTTTCTGAATTTTTGATAGTAGTTTGAACATATTTCTAAAATTTTGATAGTAATTAAAATCTTTTTCTTAATCTTTGAAAGTAATTTAAACATCTGAATCTTTGAAAGCAATTTGAACAGCTGAATCTTTGATAGCAATTTGAACCTTTTTCTGAATGAAACTTCATCCCTAGGTCGCATCTTGTTTGGAGGCTACAACGACTACACAATCAATGTGTGGGATGCCCTGAAGGGTACACGTATGACTATACTGTATTGCCACGACAACCGAGTCAGCTGCTTAGGAATTGCCCCTGACGGCACTTCTTTGTGCACTGGCAGTTGGGACTATACACTGAGAGTAAGTTGACCACTGAAGGTAAAACCGGGGATGGGTGCACTCAGGGTTGTTTTTGTAATATCCCGAGAAAGTAAAAGTCCTAAAACTTCCGATGGTTTTTTTTACTTTTTTTTTTTCCAGGAAATTTAAGAAAGGTCTTCTGGTTTTTTTTGGTGCTAATGTATTTGTATATGAAGGCTTATTTGTAACTAGGAATATTTCTGTGTCTAAATTTTGTATCAGGCAAAAAAAAATCTATGCTTCCTATGTCTGTTGTTTACAAACCCCTTCAACATGAATACCAGCTTTTACACATAGAAGGTGGTATGTTTTTTAAAAATCCACAGTTGAACTTATAATATATCCTTTTTAACATCCTGTAAAGCTCCTGTAATTGATAGAATTCTGAAACGGACATCTGTAGTGTAATGGTAAGGTGCCTAATTTGTTAACACAGGAGAATTGAGTACAATTACCAAGTGGGGAGAATTGTTATAGAGTATCTTGGTCTTTCTGCTGGGATGTTGTATCCCTTTCAGCTTGGGTTGGCCTTGATGGGCAGGGTCACCTCCTAAATTATCTAAATTGTGTTGATGAGGGCGGTAAAAAAAAACACCAACAGAAAAAAAATAGTTCTGAGATTCCGGCTGTGAAAGAAACAACTGTTTACTTTTACTTTTATCCGCCGCTTATACCCTTTTGGGTGTCGCGGGAAGAAAGAGACGTCTCTCTGTCGCCAGCTGGAGAGCTTGGATCAGGGGGATGCCGTGGGTGGTTAATGTTTCCCTGACTCCATCTATCCAGGTCTTTCTCGGTCGTCCTCTAGCCTTGTTGCCATCAAATTTTTTATGTATGCATGTTGTGCTTGATAGTGTGTTGATAATCGTGGGAGATGTCCGAATCATTTGATTCTTTGGTGTCGGATGTGATGCATGACATCATTTGTGCCCACCATTTCTCGGATTACTGAGTTTCTAATTTTGTCTCGCCTGTTCTTGTTTACTGCTTTTCTAAGGCATCGCATTTCACATGTTGTAATTCTTTGCTCTAATGTCTTGTTCGTGGTCCATGTTTGGCATTGATAAGTGAGTGTTGGGATGAATATAGTGTTAATGTCATTATTTTGATATTTTCTCAGGTGTGGGCTTGATGTGTGACGTGGACTTGAAGAAAGAAGACAGAAATAAAGCGCTCACAGAGGAAGAGCGAGCAGTACTTAGATGGCATGATATTGCCTTACTCCAAGACCCCAACGACGTAATGTCATATCAAGATCTAGTCTCACCTCAGTTTTATCTACTTTCGTTTATTGATGTACTGGGATATTGTCGTTCATAACTTCTCTGTATCACTTAGATTTTCAGAATGTTTGTGTCTTTAAGAAATAGTGGACCACAACTGTATATTTTGGGGAATTTAGTGTGAGAAAATGAGTGACTGAAGCATTTAAATGGAGAAAATGATTAGATAAAGTCTTAAAGAGTGAGATGTCTTGATTGTTTTGAAAGTTTTTAACATTATTTTTGTGTGCAAGCCGTGGTTGTAGTTTTAAGGGAGATGATGATTTACTGTGTAAGATTATGGTGCTTACGACTGTCTCTAGTCATTGATGAGATTTTTGAAAATGTGCATGTAGAGACTGTCCCAGCTTGGTGGGTATAAGTGCATGACATATTGTATACACAATACTTTATCAAAAATAACAGTGACAAAAGTATGCTCTTCCACACTATGTTGACTGGTTATATTTGTATTTTTCAACATTCTGTTAAATTGTTGTTTTCTTTTTTCAAGATCGTTATTTTACTAAATGAATCTCACCATTTGTCAATTTCTCTTAACTCTTAGTTTGCAAGAGAAAGATGTATTTTGTGAATATGGTGCTCTATTTTGTCTTTTGGTTCAGTTGAGTGCGAGAATATTTTCAGCTTGAGGAATTTTTACTCAAGTATTACGTTTTTTAAATATTATGTGGAGTGCGGGATGACAATGGAAAAGGTAACATGAATTTGAATTGTGGCAAAGTCCATGACTCAGGTGTGGGGGAAAAAAGTTGCAGTGTGTTGGACAGTAAAGCTAATGTAAGGTGTATTTGAATTATTTTTTGAATACGCTGGAACAAATTTATCAAAGTTTTTCTTAAGCTGTTCTTGTAAATGTGTTGTATACTCTTTATTTTCTCATTTTGGTGTAAATTTCTACTAATGGTCATGTGCAGTAAGAATGGAGACTTTTGTTTTTGTTTGTGTTGCATGCATAATTCACGTCTCAGAATTCCTTGCACCTAGTTACTCCCTATGTATCTGTGCTCAGCAGATAAGTCTTCTAGTTTGCTTTTGCAATTGTCAAGTTGATAAGTATTTTTCATCTTGAGTATTTTCAAGCATAATTTTTTTGCCTACATCAACCAATTTTTTATCACCTAATCTGTTCACTTTATTTATTTATTTTTTTCATTTTCTCTTAATTTTTTTTTTTTAAACATTATTTAGATGGTTTTGTTACATTGTGGTGCATGACAGTTGTTTTGTTGAATTTTTATGTACTGTGAAATCCTCATCAATGTGCTAATAATATATTCTAATGCTCATAAGCTCACCTTTGCTTGGTTTTAATTTGACTGATGAACAAATCTATTTCCTATTTATTATTTCTCATGGATAACATTGTGCATTATGATGTATTTTTTTCCTTATGTGATACAAATGGTGAAATGAGCCCAAAGCATACCTGTTGAACTTTCAGTAGATTTTTTTTTGCTTGTGTCTAAATAATGTAAAGGTAAATAGTGCCTGCCCGCCTGCTGTAGATGATAGATAATTTCTTTAAGAATATGTTAAATCGCTTTTCCTTTTAGTAAAAAAACAAACTGTTGTTGATGATTCCATTTGAACGTAAAAAGATATAAAAAATAGTGCCAAATTCTGAAACCAGAAAAATAAGTGACTCCTAAAAACGAGTTACTCCTATTGATCCTGCTTTCCGGGGTGAATGAAATCATAGGAGGTACTTGTTTGTCATGTGATGCCAACGCTAGACGGTTTATCTAAGGATATTTTATACATGAAGGGAACCGTACATTTTAATTATTGTCGAAATTTTATGAAAAACTTGATAAAGTTCCCTTAAAAAAATATGAGACTATGATATCTTCTTCGTTCTCAAAGTGATAGATACAATACAATTTTAATGTGTTTGGCTGTGTCTATGAGAAAACTTTTTAAAATAAAGTTTTGATCATAAAAGCTTAATGTAGAAACCTGTGATAAATGATCGATGCTACTCAGTGGGCATCTGGGGCTAGGTCTTGGTTACTTCAGTAAATAACCAAATGATTAATTTATTTTCAAAGTAGTTCCTGTGATGGTAACTCTACTAATTATTATTAAGGGAAAGGATTCTGCTCTGAGCAAAAAGGGCATTTTAGAGATACAGTAGTCTCCGCCTAAGATCCCGGTGCTCGGGAGCAAGGAAATGCGGGATCTTAGGCGAACTGGGATCATTACCGACGAACCCAGGGAAGAATCTGTGGTGACCCATGCTAAGGCTCACAATCGGTAAAATGGTCTCCCTCCACTCTAAAATGAACTGACGAGACCCCTTGGTGGGTTTATGACATATGGTGAGCAAAGAGTGGTTAACCTTGATGACCTATCACAGTGTATAGTGGGATGAGGCGTGCCATTTTCACTTATTATCCTATCATGAATCTCTAGATCTACGCTTATCCAGTTGCCCCTTCCCCTTAACTGTCGAAAATGTATAGCTTTCCATCTCTGACCGAGTCTTCCCCCCACCCAACCGCCTTTGTCGTTACACACCATTACGTTGTGAACACACCAATTAAAATTCAGTCTATCTCGCAAATTCGGGAGTAGAGACAACTTCTGCAATGGTCAGGAAAGAGTTCACAGTTCAATGTGATCCCGCCTGGAGCGAACGTGTAGGCCCTACCCACCCAGCGTGTGATGTAAGTAATTTTTAATGGGAGCGCTCAGGTGTGAGTGCGATGTTCGGGGAAAACAAACGTGTCGGTCAGTTCACACCCCGGTGTGATCTCGTCTGGGGCAAACATTGTATCGCTTCTTCGAGTTTTACAACGTGTATGTCATTGTGATCACATTCACGATAGTGGCTGATCTTCGACCTGACGGACAGTTTATTGATCTCAACTTTTCACTCTTGGTTGATAGGCTGTCCCACCCGGGTTTTTGTTCCACTAATTGTGATCTGAAATGCGGGATCTTAGCCGAATGTCAACCTTCAGAGTGAATCAGAGCGGGATCTTATGGGTGACTTTTGTATAGTAAAAATTCTGTTTTCTTAAAACAGCGGGATCTTAAGCGAACCGGGATCGTAAGCGGTGGGATCTTAGGTGGAGACTACTGTGTAGGAGATGAAGGAAGGATATGGAGGGGAAAAAAACTTTGTTATCATTGAAAACTTTTGTACTTTTGTTACAGAAGGATGTCTCTGTTTCCAGAGGACCCTGTAATGCTCTCGTGCACATTTAAATGTGATACATCAGATCTGTTGTGATCGTAGTTCTATATTAGCTGGACTTTCAACCAAGTTCTTGAGTATTGTGAACGTATTATGGACCAACTTAGTTTCTTCTGAAGGATGGGATTTCCTTGTCCTGTATTCTACCAACATGTGCTTTCGCATTTGTCCTTTTTAAAAATCCTATTTTATATTAAATGATCACCACACTCAAAAGACTAATGAACACAAACATGTGCTGGTGGAAGCTTATTATGTTTGACGATACATCACCATTTCATTCCACTTAACAGCTTCAACACCATTCAATGCTTGCAGCAGTCAGCCGTAAGCTGTGTTCATTGGTGATTGTTAGCAACCTGAATCATAATGCTGATTTTGTTTTCGTACTAACGGAAGTGACAAAGCCACTTATGCAACCTGTTAGAAGGAGGGAATTTACTTCCCCATTTCTATTCTGTCATGTGCAGAAGTAAGGGTTAAACTGTTTTGTTTTTACTGTAGTAGTTGGTCCAGGATTTGCTATGGAAGAAGGAATTCTAGCCTAGTAGTCTGCTTTGTGCATGCAAGCACTGAAAGGAATAATTTATTGGATGCAAAGTTTTGGAAAACTCTGAGGATAATATAGAAAAGGACAATGTGATAGATAGGTGGTTTAGGCAGGTGGATTAATGGTTCTATGTAGTAGCTATGACTGCAATGTCACATAGGATAGACAATCTTGATATGTTAGAAGTATTTGTTGCGCTGAAACAGGGAGGAAAAGTTCATAATGAACTCTATACATATACAAGCTTTTCTGTTTTCATATTCTTGTCGCTTCTGCTTGATTCTATCATTTATTTGCAATTTTTGTAGCCATTCTTTGTGCAAATTTCTGTTTTTAAGGAAAAATGGTGTTCCTGTATCTTTCTTTGGCACAAATATGATCAACTTTACACTTCTCGGAACAAGACATTTTTTTACTGTTTTAGATAAAACAGTGAAAAGATGATGCACAAGTCGAATTCTTTCAGTTGATAAGAGTTGAGACGGATAGCTGATGCTTCAAAGACAAATACTATTTCCATCATATTGTGTTCAGTATTGATTTGCTATTTTGTCGGTTTTGCTTTAATTTCTCTTGTGGTTTTTCAAACTTTATTATATTATTTTGCATGATTTTTGTTTTCATGTCTTTTTTTTTCCAACTTTAACGCTGATATTACATCTGTGATCAAACTGTGTTATATCTATACTAGCCATATCACAATCTCTAGTCTCCGTATTGTGTTCTTTTTTATATTGTATAACTTTTTATGTACTCTAGTCTCAGCTACATCTGGGTCTTGTCAGAGATGGTCTTGTGTGCTGCAAGCTATGGGCAAAGATTGCTCTTGATACGGTTTCTCTTTCTGTGCTCAAAAGTTGAAAAACCTCTGTGTTCTTCGTGCAAAAGTATTGAAGAATTTGGAGTGCGTGTGTGGGCATAATTCTTGGTCTATTTTGGAAGATTAAGGTATTGCGGAGCAGTTGATTTGAACTGAAAATTCTCTTAACGCAAGGGCTGTTGGATTAACAACAAGGAGAAAAAAAAATTCTGACATTGATATTTTACCAACCAAAACAATCCCAAGTGTACTGTAATTTTTGTATTAACATTTAATTTGGCTTTTCTAATTTTTTAGATTGCAAAAAATGTTGACTAATTTTACATTTTTGTGTGCATGTGAAGAATTGGTTCTCACCTTTTTTTCTGAAGCGGGCAATATGAATGTCGTGTGACCAGACTTTTGCTTTGTGAGCCATGTATGAACTGTGGACAACATTGTATTGTTTTGCCTCACAGCGTGGCAGCGCAGGACCATCTCTGGCCAGTTTCGCCCCAATCTGTATAGCTACAACTGTTTATTTCAAAGAGAAATTTTAGCTTGCATTGATGTACACTATTTTGTTACTCATGTAAATTTTTTAATGTACATGAAAGTATAAAGGGATAAGTGTTTCACCTTTGAGTTTGTGTTGTCTTTTTCACTTTTCAATTATTTGTTCTTTTCTAACAATATTTTTAAATTATGGGCGTCTGTGGTGTATGGTTAAGCTCTTCTTGTCACTTGCAGAAGATTTAAGTTTGATTCTCAGGTGGGAAAGGGGATGATTTATTCTATTCAGTATCTTGGTCTGTGTGATGCTATGCTACATCCCTCTCAAGCAGGATTGGAGCAGCCTGCCTCCTGAATTATCTGTATTGGATCAATGGGGACAAAATATTAACATTCATTGCAATCACCACAGAGTTTTAAGTTATCAAGCAGCATATGCACATACGTAGGACTGGCTGTTGCCGTGCTGTTAATTGACAAACTTAGGGAAATGCTCTGTCAAGTTCAGGGAGTGGATCTGAATGAAATTAAAAAAAAAACCATGTTTTTGTTCTGTGAAATATTTCTCCCCTCTCATTCACAACATGGGAGTCTTGACAGTTTTTTTTTT